TTAACAGCACACGAGACCGAATTGGTCGAAATCAAATCCTTCCTACACCCACACACACCTATCTTCTCTACACAACGAACTCTACTCACATTCCCTTATCTGACTGCACAGCAAATGCAAACGAATGCGAGTTCACGAAACATCATTCCTGGTCTCTTGAAACCTCGTTCTAGACTACATGTTGGAGCATTTAATGTACGGACATTGTGTCAAATAGGGCAACAGGCATCATTAGCTAGGACTTTAGAATCTCGTGCCATCAATGTATGCTGCGTCTCGGAAACGCGCATACAGGATCCTAGTAAAATTATTAATCTGATTTCACCTTGTCAAAATAAAGAAGCAGCTCCATTGCATCTGACTGACTGACTGACAATAGCATAATGAATGTGCGTTTTAAATTTTTTGTGTCCAAAACAAGTCAGAAAATGTTCAAGACTATATTTAGTGCTTTTTATGCGAGGAGGTGAGGAGATACTGCACAATGATTTCAACATATTTAGCAGACATTGTTCGTTTTAACATAAAACATAGAAAACTATCATTATAATTCGAGATTTTAATTGAAGTAGAATAGGATATTTCAAGAGCCTGAAAAACGATTTCCTCTTGAATTATGACCGGACTGAATTTTTCCATATATATATTCAAATAAATGAATAAATGAGATTTATGTGAATTTGTTCAAGTGTCCAATTTCTAGACATTGTTTTAATTTGTCTGCTTAATGAACAATAATGCAAAATAAGTAGATGAAATACAAATCGAGGCCGTAGTAACTGATGCGAAATTCAATGTAAAAGTACATCAATTTTGTCCTGAAATTTTTTTGTTACAACTTATGTAAGGAGTGTATGTATTACAATTTTATATCACAAACAGAGTTTAGTTTCACAACTATCTCTACGAGCCTTGCTCACAATTGCAGCACACGCTGAACTCAGGGCCTTTAAATTGTTATTAAACCTGTATCTAATGGTTGGCACTTCTAACTTTAAGTCAGTCCACAAATTCGCACAACACTGAGGAGCCCCAAACGTGGACAAAACATGTTTCTTGTGCATCCTGGTCGTCACTGTTTCCATAACTAAACTCAGTTCCTCAAATAATAAAATGATGCGCTATAACAATCAAACAATGTTATTTTGATGACTGAAATTCAGAAGATAGTATACTATTTATCATTATATCACACTAATTATGTAAATTAAAGAAATGACTTTTAAAATTATGGTCATATTTATGTATATGTCTTTTTTACAGTCATCAGAAAACTAAAAGTCCTCGATTTGTTCACCATACTGTACGCTACTAAAAACTTTCAAACTGGTGATGAAAACTCTACAATAAATCTCGATTTCCAGTGGTACTTCAACTGATATCAGTTTTATGTTTAAATCCGCCTTGTATAATCCGCACAATATCACCTGATATAATATGGATCCAGTTTATCAATCATAAACCAGAACTGTTCGTCAGCCACTTATAGCTGTCATTATTATTCTAAATAATTTTATATTATTTCTATTGTTGATTATTTTGTCGTTTACTGAGAAGTCTAAACAATAGCTCATTTAAATTAGAAACATCTTTTTGTCGTTATCAATAACATGAGAAACACCAATCCAAGAAAGATACTGGTTATTTTATCATGATTCCCACAAGTGATGATGTGTTATTCATGATGATGATTGCGTTGTTTGCGGGTGATTTGTCTTCACAAGTTATAAAGGAATTTCTTATAGACAAGTATTTAATGACCAGTTAATAATGCTCTGATTCTTTGGCCAGATACAATCATCAACAACGTACTGTTAGAGTGAACAAACCAGGTTCAAGTAGAGGAGGTAATCGGGAAGAAGCGGTGGAAGTGGATAGGACACACACTACGAAAAGCACCCAACTGCGTCACAAGACAAGCCCTCACACGGAACCCTCAAGGTAAAAGGAAAAGAGGAAGGCCATGGAACAGATTACGCCGAAAAATAGAGAAAGATATGAGAGGAATCTAGGGTTAGACATTAACACTGTTAGATGCCAGCCCAGTGGTCCAAGGGTTAGGCGTTCGCGCACAATACCGCAGGTCCCGGGTTCGAATCCTGCAAGGAGCAGGAGTCGTGGATGCGCACTGCTGATGAGTCCCATACCAGGATGAAACGGCAGTCTTTCAGTGCTTTCATGTTTCTAATGGTGGTCATCTAACAATGATCGATTGATGATTTCAAATGTGTAAAAACACAAACCACCAAAACTATGCCCGAAAATAATGAGAAAGTTCAAAGATTTGTCAAAACCATTGTAATTTTAAGTTACGTATCATTAAGTTTAAATTGTTTGTTTAATCAAATGGCTATTTGGGAGGAAGACGTTTCTACTGGCTATATAATAATAAGCGGTGATTAGCTTTAATTTCTCAAAAAAAAATGTTTTGTTTTTCTAGCTAGTTCATTTATAAATAAATAGACTTAATTTTCGATTAAGATTTATCAACAGATGCTAATGAAGAGTTTTAGCAGCAATTCTAATCAATTTAGCCTTTGTCATTGCCATCAGTTTACTCCCATCATTTATTGATTTCATTTTGAATTCAAATTTAAAAATTTTATTCGTGCATCCATTCATTCATTCATGCATTTGTTGAATAATAATTGCATATTTTTCCTTTTTTCAATGGTGACAGAAGAATTTTTGGAGTTGATAATATTAACGAATAAAATAATTGTCAAAAATGTCAGCACTTTTCTGATAATTCATGCTAAAAGAGGATCCTACTTTCTTTTTGTTGTCGGTGTCATAGAAATCCAAAGAGTGGTCGATATTTCAAGCAATAAACTCACAGAATGTTTGATGAGTTTTAATGGTATTTTCGATTATAACGTCCGTCCTTGTATGAAGCTATTTACTATTTATTTGTCATGAAGCTACTTCATAAAAGTCAGTTATTTATTGCGTTGTCATGAGCTAAGAGTATTTTATAATAATATCAGATTAGTATGCTTATACTGTTTGATTTAAAGCACAAAAGTAAGTGAACTATTACAATGAACTATTGAATTCTGACTAGTAAAACCTATTTGTTTTACAAGTTAAAAAATAATTAATCAGCCACGAGAGATTCGAATATCAATTCGAAAATCAATATCATCTTTGATATTTTTAAAGCAGATATTTTTGATCAGTAAAATCAATCTCAAAATTGATTCTTATAATATTTTCATCAAACATTGTAATTTCGGCAAACTAACATTTTCGAATAAAGAGAAATATATGACAACTAACAAAAAAACACTTGATGACTGGAATATTCAAATGAAAATATTCAGTACATTTAAGCGTAAACAGCATTATTTAACAAGGACTTTGCTCTAAGCTTGAGCAAACAACTGCCTACTTCAGATTTTTAAAATGAGTCGGGGGCAATAAAAACACAGTGCTTTTTGAGGCTTTCATTTTCTAATGAGTTTTAAAAAAAATGTTAAAATGCGTTCATGGCGATGTTATTAGCTTGTGATATTTTTTATTCTTGACTTGAGAGAAATATATATTGTTTCGTTGTATAGAAGGAATAAACTAGAAACAGGCATTACCTGTATTTACTTCGGATTCAGCAACAATTTACTGTGGGAGAGAACAAATCAGATTCCAGTGGATGAGGAAATCAGGAAGAAGTGGTGGAAGTGGATAGGACACACACTGTGAAAATCACCCAAATGAGTCATAAGACAAGCTCTCACGTGGAACCCTCAAGGTGAAAGGAAAAGAGGAAGGCCAGGGAAAACAATACGCCGAGAAATTGAGAAAGACATGAGAAGAATGAACAAAAACTGGAAAGAACTAGAAAGGGAAACCCAGGACAGAGTTGATTGGCGAAAACTGGTGGGTGGCCTATGCTCTGTTGAGGGTAACAGGCGCAAGTAAGTAATTTGTGTTCGCGGATTCGAATCTACCATTCACAACTTACTACCAGAAATACAGTAGCTGTTTTGAAATTCCAACCCTGGTTTCCACGTCTATTACAGTTTACACTCTATGTTGATGAAAAGTCCCTGACTAATAATAGAAGAATATAAACTTCTTAATAACTCTAAAGAATTCTAATGATAAGATAAACCAACCGATTACGTAAATCATTCTCAAGCTAAACAATACTCATAAACCATCTACCCTATAACTACGTTTTGTATCATATTTTTTTTTTAAAAAAAAAACTGAACTAAACATTGTTTAGAGGAAATAGCAATGAAAAACTCTTTTTTTTTAATTAAATCAGTTTATTTCGGCTTCCTTCTTCATAATTTATTTACTGATTGCGCAGAAGAAATAACTTTCAATGTAAAAAATGTAATGAATATTCGTTAGCATTTGTTTATCTATCAGTTAAGCTAATAATTAATTGATTGATGTTTTCCGAATGAATTAACTAATGAAAAATTATTAATTATTTACTTACTCACTAATGGAATGTTTGTTATCTTCTCACTGATAAAAATTGATTACAATATGAAATTAAAAAATTATTCACCATTTGTTGGGGATGTTATTTCCCCAAAATTCGCTTGATAAATGCCTGCCTTATTTTGGTTTTTACGTTTGCCAGCATGGGCTGCTGATCAGTTGGCCTTGAGATTTCAATTCCCACCAGCAAAATCCATGGCTGTGATTGGCTGCTGTGTATTTTAGTGTGCTATTTTCTTAACTGTCTCAAGGACGTTTCTCTGTTGTATAAATAAACGAGAGTTGTATGCTTGATGGATTGTGATTGCTGAGTGTTTGTAGAATATACTTTATACGCTTACAAAGCCTTTTATCTTCAGCTTGGGATTCAAGGTAGCCTACCTGGACGTTGGTAATTGTCTCGTTCGCGTTTATCGACTAAGGTAAACCCGTAATAGCCTAAAGCATACTAAGTGACGAGCGTAACACCATTGTGAAATAAAAATAATAATTATTCTCATATAATGTTTAAATAAAATTTTAAAAAAATATGTTTGTTTTCTTTTTCATTCAAAATATAGTTTAACACTTACAGCTCCTTCTTGTATATTAAATGATAAATCTTCATATAAATAACTTTTTAATTCAGCTTTAAAACGTGGATGTTGATTTAATATTTCACTTAATGTAATCAAATCGATATAATGTAGATCACAGTAGGTCAGTGATTTTACATCACAACGTGAACGTATAATTGGAAATGATGATGATGTTGTTGTTGTTGTTGTTGATGAGGATAGATTATTCAGTGTAGTGTTTGTTGTTATATCAGTTTCGATAAATGCACCGAACCAGTCGTTTTTACCTGAGCAAAAGATAAAGCACTATGTTTATATATATATATATATATATATATTGTTATCGATCAGAGTAACTTTGACAAACTTATACTTATACTTCAAACTGAACTATTCATTGGAAAGATTATTATCTTAGTATGTATATGAACTGTTTGTTAATCTCTCTACATTTTGATGGTCAGTAATAATAATGAGTAAAGAGGTGACAAAACTCGATTTAAAAATGATATGTTTATCATGACTGACATTTACTATGACAACAGATCCTGCTATTTTCATGCAAAACATGAATGCCATAATTGCTTTCAGATTTCTTCTAAAGTAAATACTATGGAGCGATTGATAGTTCTTATGGAATGGTCATTTGTTTAACAGCTGGGTTTGTCAGTATGCATTAGAGTAGTAGGAAACAGTAAGCAAAAACTGTACAATCATTCTACAGTTAACTTTTTACATTGTTTGTTTACAAGTTGGTTTCTTGAGTGACCTCATAAGTCCCTTACTTTCACCATGTGATTATGGCTTACTTGTTTCTTGGAATGGTTAACTCCTCTGTAGAGCATTCTCAAAATTCATAGGTGACCCATGCTATCAGTTTTCCCATTGTAGATAATTCCTATCTCATTATTCATTTAATTATTCTCAAATTTCTGTCCATTTCCTAAATATAACCAGGATAGAATCAATTATAATTCCAATCGATTCCCTAATTTAAACCAATAATGGTGTAACTCATTTTTGTTTCAGATTTTAGTTTCTTCATAGTAGACCTTTTTAATTTGTGTAATAATATTGATAAAACTATATACAGCATGAGATATGAAGCTGTTAATTGTCAGATGAACACCCCCAGTAGAACTTTCAGGGCTATTGCCGATCCCAAGCCCGGATTATGGAGGAGGGTTGGGCATCGGGTGGGAGACCCCATCCCACCAACATCTGGAGAGAAGGATGGTATCCAAAGGACAACTAGGACGCAGCTGGACGGTCTGGACTTCGCAGATGATCTGGCTCTTCTATTTCACACGCAACAACAAATGCAAGAAAAGATAACCAGCGTAGCAGCAGCTTCAGAAGCAGTAGGTCTCAACAAACATAAGTGGAAAAGTAAGATTCTACGATACAACACAACATGCGCAAACCAAATCACACTTGATGGAGATTCTTTGGAAGATGTAACACTTTTTCATATCTTGGTAGCATCGTCGATAACGAAGGTGGAGCCGATGCAGATGTGACAGCGCGGATCGGCAAAGCAAGGGCTGCATTTCTACAATTGAACAACATCAACTCAAAACATCATTCAACAAACGAAAAAATTAGGATTTTCAATATAAATGTGAAGACAGTTCTATTATATGGAGAGGAAACTTGGAGAACTACAAAAGCCATCATCCATAAGATACAAGTGTTTATTAACAGTTGTCTTCGCAAAATACTTCGGATTCGTTGGCCAGACACCATCAGCAACAACTTACTGTGTGAGAGAACAAACGAGATTCTAGTGGAGGAGGAAATCAGAAAGAAGTGGTGGTAGTGGACAGGACACACACTGCGAAAAGCACCGAACTGCCTCACAAGACAAGCCCTCACATGGAACCCTCAACGCAAAAGGAAAAGAGGAAGGCCAAGGAACACCTTACGCTGAAAAATAGACAAAGACATGAGTAGAATGAAGGAAAACTGGAAAGAACGGAAGAAGGGAATCTCAGGACAGATTTGGTTGGAGAAAACTGATCGGCTCGATTGGGGGTAACAGGCGTAAGTAAGTAAGTAATTGTCAAATGACAAATACTGTAATCATCACTTATTCAATAACAATCAAAGTTATTCATTTTAATCTTTTTAAAAATTCCTCTTTATCATCTTACCAAGTAAAGCAACCACTTCATCCGTTTCCAATACTTCCAATGATCCATTCGATACAAAATATAAACGACGTAAAATATCTCCAGTTTGTATTAGATATTCACCAGGTGTACAAAATGTTAGCTTAAAATTAATAGCTAACGATTTTAAACAATCACGACTAGCTTTTTCAAATACTTTCAAACCAAGTACTTCACGGTTTAAATGTAAATAAATATCACCTTGTAATTCTTCTGGATAAATTTTCAACACCTATTTTGAAGTAGTAAAATGAGACAATATTTCATATACATGAAAGTAAATAAATCATATTTGAGAAAGTGTACACTGATTAGAAAAAAAACCTTGGTTAATCAATTTTTTTTCCAGTTTACTACGACGAAATAAAAGCTAAGAATTATGTTTTAGTAGTTTGCATTACTTACTGATCTTGGCTGGTTAACTTTAGAAAGTGAATACATACCGAAAGTCTGCTTCGTTCTGGATAGACGTCCTGGAGATAACTCATGCATCAGTACCTATACTTCTGTCTGGTACCAACTAAAGTCTATCATCTAACGGTTTACCCTTTTAACTCTCAACAGGTGAAGGCCTCCCTACTAGAGCTACATTAGTACAAATGTACTGAATGTGAAATTGTTACACATGGATGAAAATGGAGGTTAGTTATTGGACTAAGTAGTCTAGATGTTAAGCGTACCTAGCAAAACATGAAGGCCCTAGGTTCGATCAATTATGAACTCATGGATGTAACCAGTCGAAGATTTCCATATGAATACGAAAAATCTGTCTAATGATTTCTGAATTTTCAATGGTTGTTTAGTAAAGATCATTGTATGATCCTCATGATAATTTTCGTGAAACCTTCATGTTTATATACAGTCGCGTACTTATTATCTGATACGCAACTTGGTTACATTATTATTTCAACTACATGTCGTTAATGTATTGAATAGATTGATTTTTCCAATAAATTTTTCTCTGCCATTTCGTAAATGATTACAGGTTCAATTAGTTATCTTCTAATTATTTTGGTGATTAGATCGTTATCTTGCTCTTCCTAATTGAGTTTCAGTAGTTATGCAATATAATTAGCATCCCCGCCCTGCCCCTTCACATAATAGATTGTAACTTAAAGCTCCTTAAATTCTGTCTGTACCAATTTATTGAAGAGCAAAAAATTTAGGAGTATCATTTATGTTCAACATAGAACAACTATCCATTGTAATACTGTTCATTTACTTAGACTAGGAAACAATAATTGACAACTTTTTGCCTTTTTGTAATAGATAATTTAACAAATGTAACATCAATACTGTTAGGGTATTTTCAGTTACAGCTTTGGAGATTTGGGTTTTTTCACATTTGAAATCATCAATCAATCATTGTTAGACCATCATTAGAAACCTGGAACCACTGGCAAGGTTGGTTTCGTCCCGGTATGGGACTCATCAGTGGCAGTACGCATCCACGACTGTGTATAGACAAGAGAAACAACCTAAGTGCAGCACTGCGAAATTCCCAGACTGTCAGGTAAATTAACCAGCAATTTTCTTCTGATAAATATAATCCGAAATTCATGAAAAATAGCTCGTTAATTTTTTTATTTCGAAATCTTTAGAATTACCATTCTACATATTATTTATTAGGTAATAAATGGTTCAATAATCTACATGGATAACAATTCATTAATCATAATTTTGCATTTTTCAATCAAACTATTGACCTTATCAAGGAAAAAATAATTAATTTTACAAAGAATAATCTGTGTTATTTTTGGTCAAAGCAGTCGAACCAGGTATACAAAATCTATCGATCGATCTATCTATCTATCTATTCTACAGTGACTTGTATGTACCTAATGAATAGAAAGTTGCATTTCTTCACAGAGTTCACGAATGATCAGTTAAATTAGATGAATTTGACGGTGAAAAATTATTTACCAAGTGTATATTTGTATTTGTTTAGTAATTCAATAATGCCTATATTTTTCTTCTAAATTTGTTTAAACAAACCATTCGATTCAATGAATTTATAATAATGAATCAATAAATGAGGAAAAATTTTTAGGGAAAAATGCCTACTTCAGATACATCGATACCACGATTAATAGCCCATGTTGTTTGAAAGAAATCTTCCATTCTACTTTTAAGTGTTTTGGGTATTCGATAAACTTCAATGAATTCTTTTAAATCTTGAACTTTCGATTGAAATATTGTTCGACGTGCATACATACGTTGTATAATAGCAGTGACATTGCCAAATACTGCAGCATGCATAAGAGCTAAATAAATTAGATTAATAAATAATACAACAGTAAGCTGAAGAATTCTAAAAACGTTTCATGTATAGATTTTAAATGATCAATCATGTTAACCTGTTTGCCTTGGAGCCCAACCAAATGTGAAAAGCAATGGTTAAAACATTCACTTTCAAATTGGAAGGAAGGATCATTCAATAAACGCTAAACAAGTTGTGTAAAGCGGAAAATGAATGTTTTTTTACATTACTAGAAAAATGCTTTGTGGTGGCCAATTTCTACGCGTGTTCTTATGCTTCGTAATTAGCCCATCTAGACAATCGTTACTAAGTAGCGTCTGACGTTTCAGAAATCAGAAGATGAATTCGAAGTAATGAATACGTTTATTTTTGGACACACCACAAGGCGAAGTTGAAAAGCAGCGAACAAAGCGTACGAAACGACGTGAATTGGAGAAGGCTAAGAGCCAACTCAAAGAAATAGAGTATGACTAAGAATATATAGTCAGACAAATATAAGACAGACATGTGACAAGCGAAATAGGCACACATGAATAAAAGCGACGAATGATTGACAAGGTCAAATGACAAGTGGGACATGTCATGTGAGCTCATACAAACCAGACAATAATAAGAACGAATGGTACATATAAATTGTTGCAATACACACACAAATTGGCTTGGTTAAATAAATTAATCGAAAGGGCTTAACCAAGTTAGATGTAAGCGAACTGGAATATATACGTGGAGGCACTACACCTTAAAATATGGTAGTTTGTAGATGCATACCATTGAGAAACCTTAAACCAGTGTTGCGCTATTATCCTCAGTTTGTAGTGTCTAGATAGCTAGTCTGAGTTCATGGCGAAGATTGTGTTCGTGTTAATTTATGGAAATCATGAATTGAACTAACTTAGACTTCCGTGGAAAAACCAAAAAAAGTACTGAACTTCTGTTTGTTTTTCGTGCAGGACTTCTCAGCAATTATTGAACACCGAAGTGTATTGTGAACTTATTTCTGTCTTAGAATATGTTTGAACCTGATTGTCAACTGAAACATCGACATTGTTTCATTTCGATGCTGGCCCATTGGTTTAATGATTAGGCGTTCGCGCACAATACCGAAGGTCCAGGTTTCGAGTCCTGTGAGGTGCAGGAGTCGTGGATGCGCACTACCACTGATGAGTCCAATACCATGACGAAACAGCCCTTGCCAGTGCTTCCATGTTTCTAATGGTGGCCAACTAACAATGATTGATTGATGATTTAAAATGTGTAAAAAAACCCTAATCTCCATAACTCTAATTGAAAAAAGAGCATATGAAGGTTTTTTTCCTAATTTTAAAGACGTGATTCATTATCGAAAACTATTTACTTCTGAGTAGCTTACAATCTATCATAAATAAGAATTATTTGTCATTACAAAATTATTCTAACTGAATTTTCGATACGGTTATATTAATTATTTGGCTACTAAATCACTGTAGTTAAACATTATTTTTACTAATCATTCCCTTTAACTTAAAATTTATACTTTAAACTTTACTGAAATTAAAAACTAAAAAAGGAAATTCCTACATTTTTTATGTCGTCTAATTACCAGACAAGGTTAGGAGAGCATAATTACAAAAGATCTTTCGATAAAACTCCGTGAGATGTACTTGTTCATAGCTGTTTAATACTTCTTACTGAAGTTTAGTACTGGTTTCCCAACCCTGAACCCGAAGCATCTGCGTGATGAAAACTTTAATTTTATTTGAAACCGTGAATCGATCAAGGTTAGACCACCATTAGAAACCTCGAAGCACTGAAACACGGTCGTTTCGTCCTAGTATAGGACTCATCAGCAGTGTGCATCTACGACTCCTGCACCTCACAGGATTCGAAACCGGGACCTTCAGTATTGTGCGCGAACGCCTAACCATCGGACCACTGAGCCGGTATCCAACGGTGTTAATGTCTAACTTGATCAATTCACGGAGTTGTGCAACCTCATACACAGTCTCCGGTAGTCACTGTCTAAAACCCGAACAGGTTGAACTTCACCGGTTGTGGAGTCGTGGATTCGCACTGCTGAGGAGTCCCATATCAGGACGAAACGGCCGTCCAGTGCTTCCAGGTTTCTAATGACGGTCTAACATTGATCGATTCATGGTTTCAAATAAAACTTAACAATCTTCACAAAAACCCCGTAATGAAAATTTTAATAACCGAATGCAGAGTAGTCTCTTTCTGACACATTTATTAGACTAAGCAATGTTGTCATAAATATTATTTCCATGGCTCATACAATTTTATACAGAAACTCACTAAAATTTCAAAGATGTAGTGTTAAAATACAACAATTTACAAACCATATTTGTTTTTACGAAATCTTTTGTACATCATAGGAAAATCTGTTATATACGAACATCATTGATAAAATGGTTTAGTTGTAGATTAATATTGAAAGGGACAAATTATTATCAACTTATATCTTACATGAAATCTAGATTAGGGAGAAACGGTACGAATCTTTCATGTCCTTAGTTTAACAATATGTCACTTGCACTAGCATCCTTAACCTCGAAAAGGTGCTTTTCTTTCAACACTGCATAAAAAGCATCTTCTGCTTAGCTCTTCACTAGACAAAGGTTTATTTGGATGAATTTTGAATTTCTCTATTTTGATTTATTTTAGGTTGATATTATTTTGAATTTTTGAGAAAGGTAGTAGTATAGAGACAGCTTTCATGATTTTATGTAAATATATTTTAATACTAGATGCAATTTTGTTGAATATGAAAGAAGTTTACAAACAAAATTATAATATAAACAGTTCACAGTACACACATATTTATATATTTGTAGTTACAACAAAAACTAACCTCCAAGTAGCATGATACAAATAGCGAATATTTTCTCATTGGTTGTATTAGCTGAAACATTACCAAACCCAACAGATGTTAAACTGCTACATGTGAAATATAATGCAGTAAAATATTTAGATCCTTCTGTAGGTCCACCGGATCTATTCAAATGAAAAGGAGATCGTAATCGTCTGGCTAAATCTTCCAACCAACCTAGAGATTAAGAAAAAAATAGAAAAAAAAGCACTGTAGTATCTTCGAATCGATTGTCAAGTTATTACTGACATGGTAAAGTCAAAAAGAAAATCTTTAACCATTGGTAATTTTCACTGCTATGACTCGTAAAACTCATTAAAAGAGAGAGAGATCCTACTGAGATTCATAGATCAAACACAATATTTCAGTCTTCACATATCAACACAGTAGGAATTTACTTTTTCATGTTTCTATCAAGTCATAAGGGAAAAAATATACTTTAGCTTTTTGACTCAATTATCTTATTGTTATTTTCTACTCTTAAAGTTAATTTTATACAATTCTTGGTATTTCGGGCCTGTATGGGTAACGGCATGATAAAAGAGGTGTCTGTTGAAAATACAACAATTAACTGGATTGTAGTGTTTTCTCTTCTTCATTCAACAAATCACAATCAACAATGCTTTAAATAAAATCATAACACATTTAGTTCAGCATTTACAATCTCGTAGAGAATAAATGGTAGATTAGTTTAGTTTTATAATTATTATTGATGATCTTATTGTTCTGAGTTACAACTGAGTTACCTTAAACCATGTTACAAACTATTTGCTGATAGTGTATGATATAATCACATGTGACTTATAATTTGTCCGCCATGTCGGTAGTTGTCGACTGATTGGTTAGGGTCCGCGAGATGATGATTATCGATGGTTAGATACCCTGAATGACATGGCTCAAAACCGTTCGCAATGACGACGGTGTATTTATTCTTTGTGTTCTCTCAAATCCTAATCTTCTGGATTCTCCAACACCTCTAGTTTTGACTTTCTTAACTTTTCTCATTGAATCATACTTCATGAATAATATCTTCTAATCCTAACCTCTCGGATTACTTCTAATACTTTTACTACCTCTTCTACCATTGGATTTGAATTGACAATTATATCTCTGTGCTGATGTGGTATGGCAACATGAACTGATGTACTTACGTACGTACGAAGTTCTACGTTGCATCTGACTGACTGACTATACTTTGTCCGAGAGAATGAGTACTTTGCAAATAAGTAGTACTAGATCTGGCTAAAATTTATCTGTATACACACAGTACAATATAATTAATGTTGACATTAAACGTTCTTAGAAAACATTTAAGAAGACTAGAAAATCTGATTATCCCAAAGTCGTATTTAACGTTTTGTTGTATATAAATAGTGTAAGTCAGCTTAACTATTGATCATGGAGAATATTAATAATTAACGACTGGATCGTAAGTTGATCAATAAATGATCGGATCAAACACATAATTACTAATCAACAAGCTAACATGTTATTGTGTATATCACCTATATGTGATTAAATCATTTTGATCAATAATAAACAATGTTTCAACATCAATCAATCATTGTTAGTTGATCACCATTAGAATCATGGAAGCACTGAAACACGGCCGTTTCGTCCTGGTATGGGACTCGTCAGTGGCAGTGCGCATCCACGACTCCTACACCTCGGAGGATTCGAACTCGGGAACTTCGGTATTGTGCGCGAATGCTTAACCATTGGACCACTGGGTCGGCATCTAGGCGCCGATTCG